GGGGATTAGCCGGCCGGTCCGTCGGTCCGTCCCTTATTCCTTCCCCTCCCCTAGCGACCGGCGGCGGGCGGGCGGGCAGCGCGCTCGGCTCTTGCGCTGGCTCGGGAGTGCCACGGCCTCTTCCGCTCCGCGCGCTGGGTGCTCGCGCTGTGTCTCCATCCTCCCCGCAGGAGGACCTTTAAATAGCAACGTCAGCGCGCTCCTCGACGCACATACGTCACCCTCCGCTCACGTCACCCTGTGCGGGGGATGATGTCACGCGGCCGGAAGTACTGCTAAATTAGGGAAAGGAGCAGGGCGGGTGGAGGGCTGGGCGAGCGGCTGTGTACCCACCTGCTCTCGCTTTTCCTTAAAGGCTAACACGCTGGAGAGGAAAAAAGTCGGAGGAGAGCTCAGAGGAGAAGGCGGCAGAAGGAGGTTTCCTTGGCACAAATGTGCCAAACGCGAGTGAATCACTCATAGCAACCGTGCCGAAGTGTCGCCGGTAATGTCCTGTCTCCCTCTCCCACTGGGTTCGCCGCAGCATCCCCGGGCTGCTCACATCCCAACCTGCAGGGAAACGTGGGAGGGAGAGTGATCACTACTGGTAGACTTGGGGAAAATCACCGTTAATTTTAGGAGTCATAAATAACCATTCTGAACTTCCCGCCTCCTGATGGCATGAACTTCTTTAAAAAAAAAAAAAAGTGGAGTTAGGAACAAACCTCCTATTACAAAGGATAGTAATTAAAGCTGAGGGGAGTTCCCAAATGTTCTAAATGTTGCCGTTCACAACATAGCCATGGTTCTGCATGGCATAATGAATCAAATTCATTAAAGTAAAACTTAGATCCCTCAGATAATTATCGTTCTGCAGTTTCGCAAATGTCAATGAATCCCTTCAGTTCTGACCTACCAAGGATATCAATTACAGTCTGGAAACAAAGGCCTGTCACCCAATCCTTTTTAATTAACAGAAATATACATTAGCACAATAACTCTCAAGTACGTTTTCATTTTCTATATGGCAAGGATGATTAGCCATCCATAACTATAGCTACATATGTAAAAACCGTGTTCTTAAAATCATAAAGTTTTTAAATGGTCTCATTATCCTAAGATACTCTTTTATTAGGTGGATTCACAAGCTGAACTTAACTTTTATTTGATTTAACTCGACAATCATGGCCCAGAAATAGAATTGCTACACACTGCTAAAGGCCTTTACTACTTTATTTTTATGACAGTAACTCTATAAATTCAGTGACCATATTTTACAAACTAAAGTCCTTTGACATTAAACAGAATATTCGAAACCTGAAGTGACCTGGAAAATTCAGGACATAATAGTATTACCAAACCATGAAGCTGTCCTTAGAAAAATTATAAATCAATACCAATGCAGTTCAAAATAAAATCAGCTAAAGTTATATAGACTCTGCCAAGAGTAGTGGTTTTTATTTTGATTGAGACAGGGTCTCAGTATTTAGCCCAGGCTGACCTTGAACTCCTAATCCCCTCTGAGCAAAGCACTCACAGGAGTGTCACTGCTTTCCTACTACATGTGGTTTTTAATGCATGTTTTTAATGTGTACACATGATTCTGAATTAAGGAACAACAATTTTGGTTCGTTTGTTTGTTTGTTGTTGTTGTTGCTTTGTTTGTTTTGCATTGACAATTGACATTTTCTTGCTTGAGTTTGGAACCCAAGATTTAAAATAACCAGCAAAAACTGTTAGAACCAATTTGTAACTTATCAGACTGCGTGGTCAGTTCTCTTCACATTATAAAATTATGATCTTGCTTTAATTTTGAAATATTAAAAGCCTTGTTTTTTCACACAAGTATATATTTGTTATGTGTATGTATTTGTGTGTGCTAGCACATGTATGCATGACAAGAGTGGAGGCCATAGGTTTAATGTCAGGAGTCTTCCTCGATTGCTGTCCACCTTAATGATTGAGGGAGGGTCTCTCTTAAGTGAACTCAGAACTCGTCAGTAGGGCTAATCTAAGCAGCCAGCATACTCTGAGCATCCGGTCTCTGCCTTTCTGGTACTGGAATTACAGGTAGGATGCCATCCTTCTCAGCAGCTGTGTGGATGCTGGGGATCTCAGCTCTGTACCTACACTTGTGTGGTAACAAAGGGTTATTGGTTTCTTAAACATTATGATGAAAGGTTAATGAAAAACAAATATCTGCTTGCCAGTTTGTCTTATATGTATTATCACCATACTGATAGAGACTGGTACATCAAACAAATTGAGTTTTTTACTTAAAGATAAAATACTAAAGCAATAATGCTGCCATTCTTCAAATAGTGTCATCATTGATCCCAGCAAGTTAAAATGCAATTGTTTTTACTCTCTAAAATTCTAAAGCAACAACAACAAAAAAAACCTTTAAAAACCATTTCCTTCTGAACTAATTTTCCCTTTCTGGGTCTTTCTCTCGGTGTTAATTAACTCTTACTTTGCCATTTTCAAACACCTCATTTAAGCTTATGATCACAACTTCCTCCTGTTTGTGTTCTTTACCAAACTGAATGTGACCCCCTGCTGAGACGTCAGTCTGCTGCTTCTGTGCATTAGCAGAGGGCCCTTCCTCAGTGTCTCTTTCTCACAGGGGCGGGGTGTCCTCGCAGCTGCCTCTTGTCAGCTGAGAGAAAGCAACTTTTTTGTAAATAAATCTGAGGGTTCACTGTGATATAATTACTCCAAATGTATGTGATCATTTCAGCTTCTTCTAGTCAATTCTAACTACAGTTGGCCAATTCTTTTCTTTCCCATTTGTGTGTGATTCACATACCAAGAAGTAGTTGTATGTATATAATATGTATGTATATACCCAAAGCTGTAAGTAAAACCTTGAAACGTTATGAGACATGTCCTCAGAAAAATAAAGGCTTTCTTCCCCTACTTTGATACAATTCCTATACACTTCTGAGAGGCATCGGAGAACCATGATAGGGCTTTTCATCTATTAGTAAATATCTTTTCCCCTAAATGAGCTGTTATATCATGAATTCCAATTCTAATTTATGGATTTGTTAAGTAAGTACTGAACTTCCTAGAAAGGAGTGACTCTCTCACCGGAAGAGGAAGAAAGTACTTCAGTAACATTTCAGTTTTTAACAGTTCCTGTTTCCCACTCTGCTCTCAAATCTGTGGGGCGGTTTATGAATACCCTCTGATTTTAGAATCTGTGGGCGAAGGCATCTGTTTCAGTTTCTGAGTTTACTTCCATGCCCTTAGCAGGAGATGGTAGCCTCCAATGGGATGTTCATAGATGTGTCATGAAATGGGTCTTTTTTAATGAAAAGTCATTCATGAGCTAGAAAAAAAATTACAGAAAAAGGAGATAAAGCCAGAATTTATTTTTAATTGACTAACATTAGGTAATAGCAAATCCCTTTGGAGTATCCTATTTTTAATAACAAAACACCACTGCCACTTCAAATAAAGTCATAAGCAGACATAATACATAGATTAGCTCCCCAGCAATAGAAATCCCACTAGCTTGAGACAAATGATTATTAAGAAACTAAGTAACCAGCAAAGACTACAAGTTATGTTAAGAAAAAAATAAAAAATTGGAATTTTTTTTCTAGTGAATGCTAAAAGTCTCAGTCCACATGCTCCATGATTTAGCACACCCAGGCCATCATTAAATTGAATTGGCTTGTGTAAAGCCATCTTTTATTATTGTTACCAGTCTTGCTCTCAATAGAAGTAGTTGAAAAGTCTTTTTAGAGGACTCTCAATTAAAATAGTATAAAGCAGCTCAAGAGTGGGAATATAGGTGTTTCATTTTTCCTCGAAGGCAAAGTCTTCAGAGTTACTCATTTGAGAGCGTCCATACTTGGTCTTTGCTCTTTAGAGTGGTTTGTGAGTTGTCGAGGGAGAGAGAGTTAAGAATTACCCACAGGAAAGCTATGTTATAGAGCTTGGCAAATAATCTCATGGCATTCCCCGTGCTTTGATTTTATTGTAATCTCATTGCTGATTTTACAAGTATGGTCAGAGAAGTAAAATACAATCCTAGGCTTGAAAAGGAAGATTCCAGAAGGTTTTCAGCTAGGTGCCTGACTACAATAGGGGAATTGATCATAATTACCCCACAATTACAGGAAATTGATGTGCAGTGTGTTTTTTTTTTTTTAGAAAAAAAAACATTCATGGGATATAGTGCCTTTCAAAAATGATCTGGCTTGACTTTGTTCTGCCAGACACTTTAAGCAGCAGCTACAGCGAGCAGGCTGGGAAACCATGCCGCTCTTCAGGGACCTACAGTGAAGAATGTAGGGTAAAGCTGCACCTGTGTAGTTACTTAGCATGGAATGCTGTGGAAGCTGATTGCCATGGTAACCAATAATCTTTTTCCTGAATGGGGAAACAGAACAACCATGAGGAAAATATTTTAAATGAGCTACCTCATTTTGTGACTCTTGGTGGGTGCCAGCTAGGATAAAAACAGCACCCAAGGTATTCGGGACAGCCACACTTGTAAAAGGAAATTGCCTTCTTTTCAGAGAAATTAGGCTGAAGCTGCTTGGAATTGGGGAAGACACTGACGTGCCTGGAGCTGACA